AACAATGTGCCAACGACGGCAGTCGTCACTACGGCCGGCTACGATGTAATCATGAACAACGATTACAACCAGCTGCTTATGAACCAGGATTCTCTGTCAAGCCAATACTCGAACACTGGCGATGATTACGAGAATAGCAATGTTCATATGCTTGCCTACAATACGTCATCGCCAATGATAATGTCGCCATCGCCCGTGACACTCGTCAATAGCAACGACAACAAAGCATACACCAATTACTATTCTAATGGTAATCAGAGCCAGCAAGAGCTGGCAATGATGTCAGCCCAGCAGCCGAAACTGTTGCCGACGGTGCCGCCGGCAGGATCCACCGGCAAAAAACTGCCCACCATCAATGGTAAATCGGGCCTATTGATCAAACAGCAGCCGACCGAGATTTTCGATGATGAAACCGATGTCTTAGACGAGTTCATCGCCGATAAGCTTGTTGGCCACAATCCGAATTATTGCATCGATAGTGAGCAGGACGATTACTACATGGATCAGCAGCAGACGACACCGTCAAGTCGGGCGGTCGCTGCGAACGGTTATTATGAACACGGCAGTAGTGGTTATGATTATCGAGAGGATTACTTTAATGAGGAGGATGAGTACAAATACCTTGAGCAACAACAGCAACAGCAACAACAGCAGCAGCAACGACAGCAACAACACAAGATGATGTTGTCCCAAAAGCAATCCTCATTAGACTTTATTGATGAAGCACAGGATGACGATTACTTGGACGAAAATTATCCGAGTGAAGAAGACAGTGGCAATTATCTAGATGAAAGCTCAAGCGGTAGTGTTGGTATCGTCGGCGGGCGCAAGCCCCAGACTCAGCCAAAGGATGGAACGCCCGCGACCACAAACAAAGCAGCAGCTGTTGACCAACTGGCGGTGGTGTCACGCACAACGTTGCAGCAAACGACAGGTCATCAGCAGATCAAAAAACAAGATAGTATTATTATGGAAGAGGAGGAGGCCATCCTTGGACCCGAGGATTCTGATCACGGTGCACCCCAGTCGCCCGATCTGGTGCTCAATGAGGACGACGAAGACGATCAGTTGACCGAACTAATGCCCACCACTCGCAAGTCCCAAAAGAAGAAGGTACTGATGCGAGGTGAGACTGAGGAGGTCGTCAGTGGTCACATGCAAATGATTCGAAAGCCAGAAATTACTGCCAAGCAACGATGGCATTGGGCCTATAACAAAATCATCATGCAGCTTAACGTAAGTACCCGAATCATTAATATCTTTACAATGTAGACTTTATATATTATATATACATAAGTGCCTATCAATGATACTTTATTTACAGCCCACTAGACTATATATATTACAATATGAAATAATTTAATAGTAAGAGTCCATCACAGTAAACCCATTTCCAGTGATTATGATCAAAAAATTCTCCGACTGGGTCCATTCCATTCTTAAGATGTGAACACTAAAAAATTCGCAGTCCTCAATATTTTCCGTTAGGCCAATGGAATCGTTTAGTTTCTGATCTGTTGAAAGGCCCATCTTGAATTAATTGTTATAGGTAATGAATCAAATATATTCAACTATTGATTCGTCAGGTGTGAACCCGAATTATTAAGCATTCTTTATCATTCCCTCCTATTTTAATCTCTAACTTCAAATGTAAGCAGAGCTTCCACAGACTCTCTATAAAGTCATGTTGAAAGCGGATCGGTATATCGTTTTTCAAATCGGCTTTAGTATAGTGTTATTTCCGTAGTTTAAGAGTGAACTTAGCCTGATATGTTAGTACTTTCCTGGGACGAATTGCCCATTATTTTATTTATGAATTAACTTGCTTTCTATATCGATATTTAATTTCCCAACAAGATGCCAAAGTTTAACGTTCTACCTCGAAGTTGTTGATCAATATGAATACGAATTTCTCGAGGCTCGAAATGAGGGAGCTGCCCATACTATACATGTATATATGTATGTGTTTTTCCTCATTGACATTTCATATACTTGTAGTATATAGTACTGTAGTACATTTATTTCCACTTACATATACTTTAACGGGCTAATTTCATTATGCACCCGCAGCGAAGATAACTCAAGACTCAGCAGGCCGTCAATCGGTTTCGGTTTGTTAGTTTGAGTGCGCACAAAGGGCAATAAACAAATACTACTTTACATACATAGCTGGCATGTAAAAAACTAACACATACATTCAAAATATAAAGAGGGAGTGCACGACCATTAAATACCCTGATCTACACGTAGCCTTGGTATTGCAATTAACTTTGGCTATTTTCCGAAGATCACAAAAATGAAACAAACAGTTCTCCTTGATAAAGCCCATTGAATATATAGTAATACATTAATTTGTCGGCTGCCAGCAACTTGATAAATACAAGTATGTTATATACATTGCATAATTAGTATTATCAAATATTAGTATACTCGATGGCTCGGAGAGTTCTATTGTGTAGGGAGTACGCATAAAAGTGATAAGCTCACACATTTACATACGCTGTTTTAGCGATTGGGAGTTAGTTGTGCGCGTGTGAGTGTGTGGGTATGTGCAGGTGCGGGTGTGGGTGTGGGTGTAGATGTGGGTGAGCATAGATGTGCGTGGCTGCTCCCCGCATAAAAAGTTGGCGGATTGAATATGTCTCCGGCAATTGGTGGTCGCAGTTGTACGCGCCGTTCCCAACGTGCGAAACGCTTTTTTGTGGCACAATGAATTTCATTTATGGGCTGTTTGGCGATCGGCGGCTGCAGCGGGCCGTGGCCGATTTACGCGATGCCATCGACATTGAACGTTCGAGTAGGCCTTCGTTGGCCCCGTCAACAGCAGAGCGTACCCGCAAGCTTAGCACACTTCTCAAACACCAGCGGGAAAGTGTTGTTACCTGTGTAAGTCCGATGACCTGTGTGAGCCTATACAAGTAGTGTGATCCTTTTCATTAGAACAAGGTCTTCTTTTGACGGCAGTAAGGGTAAATAAATTTATGTATCTACATATGCATATGAGGATAGCAAATGGGAACGTATTTATTTAAATATATAAGTGACATTTGTACGCGTAGGGCAGTGAGCTTCAATTTAAATGGACTGCAGGATCTGAATTTTGAATCGTCAATTGATTTAGCAGCCTCCGCGATCATCATGTGTGCGGCAATTAAAATAGTTGGGAATACTTGTCGTACATTTGTGAAGCATGTTTGTTCTTTGATTTTCAAGCCAAATGACTCACTTGCAGCAATTCAGTTAAGTTTGCGGATTCTTGCAAAATTCCTAGTATATTCAGATGCAGTGTAAGTTCCGCAGAAAAAGCCGCCTGCTGATGGCGGTAGTTTTGTTGTTGAGGACTCCTAAAAAGGAATAAACAGAAACTTAAATGTTGAAGGCATTTTATGCCCGCAATTCTTGCGCGCTCTCTCTCTCTCTCTATTTCTCTCTCTCGCATCATAAAGTCGTAAGATAGGCAGGCGCTCTCCGGGAAGCCCATGAAAAAGCTTTTCGACTGAGTAAACAGCAGTCAAAACAAGCAAGCTAATTGAACCGGCGCATGCGCAGTTCCTTAAGTGTCACTCAACTGTATGGCCAACTGCGCGTCACGGCCCTCAGTGTCGCACTCGGTGTGGCAACGCTGCGCTGACCTGTTCCTTTCTGGCTTAAACAAATCACTGACTGACAAAACACAGTAAATGGCTCGGTGGCTTTTAAAAATACTATTCACCGCACACAAGCACTCACATAATGAGTGCCTGTGCGTGAGTGTGTGTGTGTGTGTGTGTATGTGTGCATATGCGTGAGTGCTTGTGTGTATGTTTCTCCGCGCAACAATTAAGCTCTCTTTTTCTCTGGCTCTTTGGCATTAGACATGAGTTTATTCGTCGGTATACAGAAGCTTTTCATAGTCCATGTCGCGCTTCAAAGTAAAAGTTCTGAGGGTATCTCACAACACGCACACACACACACACACATATATATGTATGTATATATATATATTTATATATATGTATATATATATATGTATTTCCAAGAGCGCACACAAGCATCGAAACATACACGAAGGCTGGCAGACAGTCAGGCAAGCAGGCAGGCAGGCAGTCGAGCACAACATAGAACAGTTTACCAAGTTGTAGTATACTTTTCAGCGTTTTTCAATCCACACCGAGAAAGCGAACGCACTTTCATAGATTGCCCCCAAAAGAAAATTTGTGTGTAGTTATTTTAAACAAAACTGCTCAAGAAAATTACACAAATTTGTGCAAAGTGTTTTAAAAGCAACAACATTTTTGTCCCTCAACAGTAGCATTAAAATTAAGCGAATAAAGTGCAGCAGTAATGGAGCAAAAGAAAAAATTGAATACTCGAAATGGAACGGAATGCGTATACACAATTTTGTACAAAAGAGGAATTGTGCCACATGCTTTGGCACGCTAACGACCAACGAACAAGGGAACCAAATGAGGGACGAGGATTATGGGGGAGTAACCGAGAAGGGCGGATTGTTAAAAAAAAGAAATGCATTCAACGCTACGGTTTATTTGACATGGTTTCAAGTGCCTTGCTCCACAGTTAAAATGACAGACGGCTACTTGGAAGTGTCCGACCGACTGACTGACTGACTGACTATACTCGCATAAGTACATATACAAATGTGTACATGCTACTAAATATATGTATATACATATGTACTTTAAGTGCATACACGTGTGTACACACGCTTAGCTCGAGTTAAGATTAGATTCCATGTACATACTCATAAGTACAATTTTGTGTATATGTAGGGCTACGCATATTTACGCACATATTGTGTGTAGGGACGACTTGTACGAGTAGTTCCTTCCATATACGTTGGTATACTCAAAACTTTTGCCATTCGCTGTTGCATTTTCGGTTTGTTGCACACGCATACATGCAAACGCGAGACCTGCAAGTTTGTGTCGCTCTCTCGCCGTATGTGTGTCTGTATGTGTGTGTAACCCCACAACTTATATTTAAATATGCATGGCATTTAGCTTAGGTTGACTGCGAGCAAACAGTAAAAACAACGAACGCGGACGACAACATGTCATCGCCAACACCAACGCCAATGCCCATGTTTAAGGCAAACTACGACACCACAAGTGCTGCAAAGCCGTCGGGGCCATTTGCCGACGCCCTAGTCGGGATCCCAGATCATCACTATCAGCAGTATCAAACGCAGCAGTCGCAGTCCCAGCTGCAGCAGCAACAACAACAGCAGCAGCAGCAGAAACAACAACAGCAACAGCAATTTTCAGTCTCCTCGGGTTCTCCAAAATTTTCTGGGGTCGGTAGTAGCGCAACAAATGCCGTTGATCCACCCTACAGTGCAGCTGCCAGCGCTTTGCAAAGTCAGTTTAAAATAAAGCAGCAACTCAAGCAGCAGCAGCAACAACAGCAGCAGCAACAACATCAGCAGCAGCACCAGCAACAGCAGCACCAGCAACAGCAACAGAAACCGCAACAACGTCAGCACTCGTATATGCATCATCTCATCTCTAATCAGCAACAGCAGCCGGCACAGCATAAATCTCAACTCAGTTTAGTCAGCAGCAGCGACATATTGTCCGGGTCCCAGGGCCAGCAGCTTAATGGTAGCAACATGAACATGAACATGAATGGCAGCATGGTGTCGATTCGAAGTGAACAGCAGTTGTGCCAAATGTATAATTCACAACAGCATTCCGATTATATTATATCAGATTATATGGACAAGATAGCCACGCGTATAAGTCTGTTGGAGACAGAGCTGAAGTTTGCCTGGCGAGCACTCGACCTGCTGTCCGGTGAGTATGGCAAGATTTGGACACGATTGGAGAAGCTCGAGAATATATCTGTGGAGCAGCAGTCGGTGGTAAGCAATCTGATGGGTCTGATAGCTGCTGCCAAGCAGCAGCAGGAGGAAGTGGAACAGTCCCCATTCGGCACATTTCTAGAAGATGAGCAGCTGCTACTCTCGGACATTGATATTGAAGGTGCTGCCTTGGAACAACAGCATGCGGCAGCTGTGGATGCAGGGGCAGTGGGTAAGGCTGAATTTCGTAGCATGCTCAATGAGCTTAAGTGTGGTAAGGACACTGAAAAGCACCTCAGCGAGCTAGATGCCCTACAGGCCATGTCAGAGCAGGGTTTTGTTGGAGATGAGTCGGATTTGTTCATGAATGCCTACGTGCTTGGTAACGAGAGCGATGAGCTGTTCCTGCACTACGACAATGGAGCGGATAATGAGGCGGCAGCAGAGCAAGTCACCGAGCATGCCTGGCCGCCAGAAAGTGGCAGCCAGCGTGGCGCTCTGCAGGCTGCACTACGCCTTAAATATGGCAAAGATGCAGCGCGTCAGAAGCTCTATTCGGACTCGGATTTGATATTATATGAGCAGCAGCAAATACTCGCGAACAATGCCAGGGCCGAATTGTTACAGGAGTTTCTGAATGGACGCAGAGTCTTGGAGGAAGTGGCGTCCGGAAGTTTGCGCAATTTGCCACAGCTCATGATGCAGGAGGCTGGACGAGGTCGAGTGCGTTCACACAGCCAACTGCATGAGGATAGTACAGGCGAAGGAAATGCCTTGAATATACCTAGCGAACTTGATGAGCTTATCGAGGAGGTTAAGTTTTTTCGGCTAGCCGCCTCTAAAACGGGCGAAGGGGGGAATCAAGTGGTTCCCATCGAAGATACAGGCGGAACGATTTTGAGAGCTGAAACGCTTCCAGATAGTGAAATGAACGAGAACTTCTATAAGAACCTAAACGAAGCATATCGAGAGAATAATCTGACATCTGAAATATCAAACATGGAGCGTTTACTTCAGCAATCTGAAGCAACACATGAACATATCATACCACTAGGTGGTCGTTCAGCCTCCTCTCTAATGATGATACACGAGGGCAATGAGGAGGAGGCCGAACACGTGCCTGACGCGTCCAAAACGCTATTACCTACCACAGTAGTCGCTACATCGACAACAATCCTGACAACGACAAGCTCTGCTGGTGATGTTCCAGTCGTAGATAGTCAATCGAAGACAAAGGAATCGAGAAAACATCGGAAGAAGAAGCATCATAAAAATGAGATGGACATGATTAACAATCTCAAGAGTATTTTATCACAAGCTGCCACATCGGCCAACACAAGTGGAGCGAGTGGGGGCATACCATCAACCCAGGATACTGGGGAGGGCGTTGGAGCCACCGTTACTGTTCGTACTGGCTTGCACAGCGACCGGGATAACAGACGTTCTACGGCGTCCTCTTCGTCCGATGACAGTGGTAGTCTTTATGACGAAAGTAACGCAATTCTGGATAGCATGACGAATGTCATGTTGAGAGAAATCAACAAAATAAGCGATCTACAATCATTGACGGCCCCCCAAATTCTCAAATTGCGCCAAACTATTCGGGCAGAGCAGAATTTTTTTGAAAAACTAAACCAGGTTGATAAAAATCTGACACTTTTGCTCCTCAATCCGGTTACCATGGCCGAGGAACTGCGGCGACTGAGAGTCATGGAGATCGATGAGAAATTTGACCTGGTTATGAAAAAGTTCGACAAAAATATTGACACGCTGAAAAAGTTGGTTGGAAACTCATTCGATGAGTATAAGAAAACGAAACCCTACACACACAGCAGTTTGGACTTGACTGCCTCTAGCACAGATCACATGGCTGACAGGGCAGCACAAATCGGTGGTTCTTTGAGCCTCGACTCCAGTGTCAGCCGCAAAGGAGCCCTGTCAAGTACCTCCACCAAGAAATTTACGCCCACTAGCAACGATTATAGCGCACATTTGTTGCGCAACAACTCCGACCTGGATGAACAATTAAAATTGCTCGAAACGCAGGAAATTGAAATGAATCGAAAGAAAAAGATCGAACAGATCACCAGCAATCAGGGTCAGGGTGTAGATAGTTTTTTAGATATAGATTCGGAATATAACCGTGTTTTGGGCAACAGCCAAAGCTCCATTAACAAGATGCACAACAATTTGGATGCAGTTTCACGCTCTACAACAAATATTTACAATCAAGACGAGTACATAAGGTCCTTAAAGAAAAGCTTAGAGCGTCACAACAGCATGTTGTTTTTGTTGCACCTGCAAAATCCAGAAAAGCACAAAGTGGCTGCAGATCTCGATGATATATTGTTGGGGCCCGGTGGCTCTAGTCCGCCACCACCCGCGCCCAATGATGATGTATTTGAGGATCTCATGGAGGTCGGGGTTGCTGGATTGGGAGGAGGACTCTCGGTGAATCCCTTCAGTGGCGAAATGCAACTGCAGGCGCCACAACAGCAGCCACATGCCTCGCCCCGGCAGGCAAAGTCCGACTCTGGTCTGTCATCCATGAGTGGTTGGTCGCCTAACTCTCCGGTACAAACGCACAATGGCAATCCCTTCTTTAGCAAATACAAGGACATTAATATGGAAATGTTGCAGCTCATGGCAGGGCTGCCACCTTGTACAGAAGCCGGCTCAACGCACAAGCTCCTGCCCGAGGAACTAATGGGCAGTAATGTGCTACCTAGCAATGCTGTAGCTCCAACAGAGCCGCTTTCCAATGGACTGCATCAGCAGCAACAGCAGCCAAGCGGCAGTTATATATTCTCCGAGGAGAACCTCAACTACATACATGAACTATCCAAAAACATGCCAATTTGTTCGGCCTATGAGAACAAGTCCATATTTAAAGTGCTCACCAGCGATGTCGCAAATGCTAATGAAGGCGAGCAGCAAATTTGTACTGTAGACGATATGTTGAAATGGGACCAACAAAACCTGCAACAGGAGCAAGCACAAACGCATGCGCAGCGCCTGCAAAAGCTGCAACAGCAATATCAGAAACATGCCGACACTATCGCCAAAGAAAGCTCAGTCAGTCGGATGCCGGATCTGTTAAAAAATCAATCGGAGAGCTCGTCCACAGCATCAAACGTGTCCAGTAAGGTGGAAAAGTTGGGCTATCAAAAGGCGCTGGCAGCTGCTGCCAGCTTGCCTGCTGATAGACGGGCCGGCAGTTCGCGATCCGCATACGAAGAGACGGACATTGATCGCGTAGAAATGCAGGACAAGACTCGCAAGCCATACTTGACAGACCGATTGGTCTACTACCCCTCATCGAATGGCATTGCCGACTACAACAGCAGCAACAATTTGGACTATCTCGGCTTTGAGGAATACGACCAGAATGTACGACAACAGAAGCATCTGCAATACCGAATGCCCAGTGCTCACCATCAGCCACAAATGTATCATGCAGAGGCTCAACGAATGCCCATGAGTCAAGCGCAGATGGCCGAAGCCAGTCAGTCGCATACGCAAATGCAGCAGCAATTGCAGATGCAGCAACAACACTTGCAACTACAGCAGCAACAACTGCAACAGCAGCAAACTCACTTTGGCGCCAGCGGCAGATCGGGCAAGTCTTCGAAAGGTTTCGAGCACCATCAACTGGCCACCAAGCCACCAAAGGTATGGAACAAGCTGAGCAACTTGCTGCCGGATAACTTTAAGCTAAAGCGATCCACGCGGTATAGTCGCTCACAATCTCTACCTGCCGGTGACGGGCAAGGTCAGGGCTCCCAGATGCAAGTGCGTGGCCAGGCAGGCTCGTATCCGTTAGTAACAACGTCCAGGCGTCCGCATGCCGGTAGCTTGAGTCATTTCGATTTGTCGAAGCGTTTTCAAAAACTGCCCATGCGCATCATGCAACGAGCCACACATTCGGGACGCAGTGCGTCCGATCCATCACGCCCGCACAAGAAACGCTCTTTTTCGGCCAAAATGAACAATTTAATGCAAAAGGCAAAGACGTATAAACGGCACAGCTTTGGCCTGCGCCCGGGCTCCAGCATCTCAGATCCCGAAGGAGACTTGCCAAGTTTTACATCATCGGATAATGACGATTCGGCCGCTAGTGAATTCGAAGTATGCCGCCAGCAACGGCTTCAAGAGCGCCACATGCGTCACTCAGCCTATGATGAGGACGAAGGCGACGACATGGGTACAGAAGATGCTGAACCCGATGCTGATGCTGACGCTGACGCCGATGCCATGGCCGATGGCTATGGCGAGGGTGAGTTTGCAACGGATGAATGCGATGGCGATGATTATGAGCGGGATAGTCCGCTGGATATGGGAATGATGCAGGAAAATGGTGAGGCAGCCGGTGGCAACCTATTTGCTGTTGTTGGCGACTTAAAAAAATCCCAGCAGCAAGCTGCCCCAGCAACAGCACCAGCACCAGCCCCAGCCCCAGCTCCAACAGACGCCCCGCAGGCAATCGGATTAGATCAACTTGAATCGCAAAGGCAAAAGAACTTCAAGAATGCCGAAATTGTGCCTGAAATATTAGTTGAAGAGAACGACCCGCAAATCACAACAACAGCAGCAATGCTGGCAACAACCACTGGAGCAACAAGCAAATCAACAATGGGGCCACCACACACATATCCAAGCAGTTCCTATTGCCTGAAAAAAACCAACTCTGTCTATGTGGACGATGAGGACTATGGCGACCCTCAGCATGCTGACATCACCGACCAGCTTGTTGGCGAATCTGAATTGTGCATGCCATCGTCATCCCCACAAGTGGTGATTACAACGCTGAATGGAATGTCAATTGTCACTAACACAGTGATAGGAGACGTTGCCACACAACTCTCAGATGGTCAACAGCAGCAGCAGCAGCACCAACAGCAACAGCAACAACAACAGCAACATCGTCTCTGGTCTACACAACAGTCGCTCGACATTCCAACCGCCATGGGTTGGGGCTCGCGCGAGGACGACGACAATCGCAGCCAACATTCGGGTCGCACCCTCTCGTCATCCCGACGTCAGAGCACGGAGGACAGCATTGATACTGATGATGAATACTTTTGCTACGAGTTGCGCCAGCTCGAAGAATTGGAACAGCAGCGCAGTGCACAAACAGACGCCTCAGTTGGCGCCCACAGTGCCGACAACGAAGTCCTCTTCTCTCAGATCGGCCAGTTGGCATTGGGCGATGCGGACGGGTATGCCTATTCACATTATCCGGATGTCAATGCCGAACTGGAGTTGGTACCGGACGAAAGCGTAAAAGAGATGATGTCCGAGGTGCTCAAGGAACTCAAGGAGGTGGTTCGCCTCGAACCCGACATCACTGTGGGCTCCAGCGAGTCGGTGAAAATTCAGAAACAGATGCGAGCTGCTCAAGGCGGGCAAAGGGCCAGCGTGAGTGAGCGATTCGCGCGCGTCACTGACATGCATAGTGCTTGGCAAGATGTGAATGGGGAGTATCAAATGCAAAGTCCTGATATGGAGGCACACGAAGATGCCGAGGCCATAAGAGAAGAGCAACGCATGCTCTACGAGCTGCAGAGTCTGGAGGCACAGGCGGCAGAGAAGCAGCCGAAACGCTTTAAGAAGAAGCGAGGCAAGCATCGTCAGGCGGCCAATGATGTGAGTTCCGTTGACCAGCAAATGGCTTCCAGTTCCTCGTACTCCTCCGATGAGGAGAACAGGCAGAAGCGCAGAGCGAGTACCAATAAGTTGCAGCTGCAGCAGCGCCAGGAGTCGCCGGATTTGGATGACAATGTGTCCCACCGAGCCAACGATCATGGTTCATCGTCGGGAGCCACTTCGGGACCCGATACGCCCGCTGAATTGAGCGACGAGTTCGATGCGACCAGTGGCGTACCTAGGACGTTGCCCAACTACGAGGCGTTCAAGGACCATCAGCATGCACAGCAATTTAATAGCAATCCGCCCACCTTAGAACAAGCCCCAGAGCCACTCATTGAGTCTGATATGCACACCCATTTGGAACAGTTAACAAGCGAGACTGGGCCCGAACCGAATGCGACAATCACTTCAACGACCACACCAATAGTAGCAACAACGACTGATGTGGAAGCAACAGCTGCAGCTGCAACTGCATCTGCAACAACAACTACAACCACCTCAAGTGGTACACCACCGCGTCCATTCAAACTGATTAGTCACGACTCTAGTGTTGAGGGATCCCAGGCTGGCCCCGGAAATGGCGCTTCGTCGGCTCTAAGCAGCAGTAAGTGGAAGTTATTGAAGACGCTCAAGGAGCGCAAAATCGAAGAAAAGAACAACCAGGATAAAATAAAAGAGGAAGAGCTAGCCAAAGATCGTGAAAAGGTAATGGGCCCACAAACGAGGCTCGGTTTATTTTCTTTTCATATTTACAACTACAATAAGCCTATGTTATTACATATATATCTAAACTTAACCCTAGGGCTCTCTTAAAAGTAAAATATGCTTAATACCTTTTCCATAATTCATTTACAGAATGGCAGCGGCACTGGTGATGTTGGTATTCGGGCCAATGGCCATCCTGGCGATAATCCTTTCTATAGCAATATTGACAGCATGCCGGACATTCGGCCGCGCAGGAAGTCCATACCCCTTGTATCTGAACTGGTAAGTGTCGCAATTTCGCCTAAAGACCCCGTTTACATAACAATCTACTTTGAAGCATTCGTTATGGATGCCTACAAATACTACTTATATCTATGTAACAATTGTTCTTACATTCATAAGTACACACACACACACACACACACACACACACACGCATATGTATGTATGTGCACACACATGTTATGACCTAACCTCACAATACCTTATGAACCCTACCCAACCGTACCTTACCTTACCTTACCTTAACTTACCTTACCTTACCGCCTACCTTCTCTATTATTATATACGATGATAAAAATTTCGTTTTCTTTCGTACATCGAAAATGTCGTTATGAATGGATCGCAGGTGCTCAAGGTATAAAACGAATGTCGAATTCTCTCATATCGTTTTAAAGTATTCCGTTTTTAAAGTTTAAAATTTATTAAAAATCACACTAGCAATTTGCAAACATTTACGACACTAACATTTCTAGAATGCAGTACAACAACATTTTACGTTCTTGACAAATGTAGCTAATGAGCCATTTTAAAATCCACAAATACAGAGTTATCTAGAAATTAATTATAACATACAATAGAATTGGGGAACTGCAATGGGTCTGCATCTGAAATATTACGCATACTATACCTAAATAGTAGTACGTATATACAAGTATCCCGTTTGTGGGGATAGAGAAGTTTAGAGAGCTTTCGAGGCTCATCGCAGTTCCAAAGATAATGGCACCACCTGTTTAATTTCAATTAGAGACACACGCACACACACACGAATTAACTTTTGCTATCTGTGTGTTGGCATCTTTCAGTTGCAGTTGAGATTAAACTTTGAATGCTCATTGATTTATGTTGGTTTTTATCAATACTTACTAGCACCTTGACTGCCAGTAGACTGGAAAACATTTAGCACGGCTTGTAAATTTTGAAACGGTTCTCTATCGCGATCGAATCACTTTTGAGAAACATTCACACGGAGAGTTGTATTCGAATTGTAAAACGAAATATACAAGTACTATGAAATACTCGATCTCGAATCTACGCAATAACATATACATATATTTGAAACTACATTAACGTTATTGAAGTCTAATTTAATTTATTCTTCCATCATCATTATCTTTTAGTATTAGAAGTACGAACTATTTGCATGATTATTTAAAAATAGAATTACAGGCCAAGCCAATTTGAATTCTTCAATGCAGACTCCATAAATTAGTGTAGACATTGGAGCTGTGCGTGAGTGCGTGCGTGAACGTGATAGAAAAGATCAGAAAAGGTAGACCAACGTGAGCTGCCAGTACTGCACGGTTAACGGTTGAGAAAGAGATACATATAGTATATACTTCCATTCACATCACAGAATTGTTAAAGCCAAGGTCAAAGATACTAGCTCAAAAAACTACGACATTTATTTATTATTGTTAATTCTTCTCGTGTTTACGAAACGAAATATTCTTCCCACAAATTGTGAAAGACTATAAATAAAAAATAAAATAAATAGCACGAATTTGTCCGAACAAGGCAAAGAGACATATTTTGTGATATCGGTAGATAGAGAATGTACATCAGATAATTCTTGCTTGAGCGTGACAGGCCAAAGATGCGTGCATTTGTTTCGTGAGTGTGCGTGAAAGGGACAAAGCGCACAGCTCTAGTGGTAATGTTTAGCTTGAAACGATACGAAAAAGTACAAAACTTGCACTTTATATCTATTCGTACTCCGATCCGCTAATATTGATTTGCGTTTGCATTGTTCGTATTGCTTGTTGCTTCTTCACCTTCTTCGCCTATATACGTATTGCCGATTACTTAAACATAACTATTAAGTATGTAGCTAATCGCGCACTATATTCTCAATGTTTCGCTGCGTTTAATGACCCCTCCCCTGCCCCGCTATATTCACTAATCGTCTGCATTGATCTGAACTCTAGACGATGGCCGCCACCAAACGGAATGCCGGCCTCACATCGGCTGTGCCGCGGGCTACCCTCAACGATGAGGAACTGGTGCGTATCCTCCCCCCCCCCCCCCCCCATTAGACTCTATTATTATCTGGCACGTTTTTCATGTGGTGAAAATATAAATTCGTTGCAGAAAATGCACGTGTATAAGAAGGCGTTACAGGCCTTGATATATCCCATCTCATCTACGACGCCGCACAACTTTGTGCTCTGGACAGCGACCTCGCCCACGTATTGCTATGAGTGCGAGGGTCTGCTTTGGGGCATTGCCCGGCAGGGAGTCCGCTGCACCGAGTGTGGCGTCAAGTGTCACGAGAAGTGCAAGGATCTCCTGAATGCAGATTGTTTGCAGCGTGAGTTAAAACCAAAGAGAAAAACATGTGAAAATTTGTTGACATACCATTCCACATTCCACACATCTTGTCATTATTATGGGTCTCGAGCTAACGAAAAGCGATTAATGATGATGATAATGATAATGATAATGAGCATCCGGCAACTTTCACAGAACGTGCTGCCCATTACACATAGTTCACGATATTTTGTTCTTTTTGTATACATTTTTAATGCCTTCACATTAGTGGGTGTGACGTCTTTGGCATTTATTTCATTACTTTTGTAGGTGCCGCCGAGAAAAGCTCAAAACATGGGGCCGAGGACAAGGCCAATTCAATAATCACGGCCATGAAGGATCGGATGAAGCAGCGGGAACGCGAAAAACCGGAAATATTCGAGCTTATCAGGTAACAATTTCATGGAGAGATGCGCCCACTGGTGTGGAATGCATGCGCTGGTGTCCTCTATACTCTATATTCTATACTATACTGTAGCCTTTGCCCTTGAGCTAGCAGGCTGCACTAACCTTTATTCATTTCGATTTCGATTTTGATTTTGATTTCTGTTCTGACTATGGCGAAGGGCCTGATGGGGATGTTATGGGGACAAATTGTTTTTTTCGCTTGATTTCATGGAGAAGAAAGCAAGCCAATGATGACAATATGCGTAGATGATGCAGATGACGCCCTATCTCCAAGTATTATGGATAGTGTCTAGTGTGTAGAGGCTTATGTTTTTTTTTTTGTGAGTCTTTTTTTTCTTGCTATGTAATAGAGTGTTGATATTAATTACAATTATAATATATCCATGTGTTGTCTACAACTGTGGCAGAGTATTTAACGAAAAACTGTACCCTGTATATCCTATCCATATATATATACATATATACAATATGCGCATATTTAGAGCCGTGTTCAGCATCGAGGAAAAGAGCCACACCGGCCATATGAAGGCTGTGAAACAGAGCGTTCTGGATGGGACCAGCAAGTGGTCGGCGAAAATTGCAATAACAGGTTTGAGCTTTAAATACGTCGTCACATGTTGTGTTTTTTTTTTTCAGTTTGAATAATTTTTCAATTTGAATGGCATACTGTGTTCCAATTGATGTATGTATACTGATATATGTATGTATGGATGTAACTAAATAACTAACTAACTAACTAACTAACAGTATTGTATGTATGCATGTATGAATGTTTGTACATACACTGAATTTTCAAACAACAACAGCAACAACAACAGCAAACAAACTACAAACAACAATAACAACATATAATGAACATACTCGTACAAGTATATACTACATAATGCTACAAGTATAAGCTCTGCTCTCTCTACATATCTTTGTACTCTCTAAAAAGTTGCAAGACAGCGATGTCGTCTGTATGTATGTATGTATGTATGTATGCACAACATCAGAGTCGAAAACTCGAGTCTTAGCCGCGCATAGCACACAAACAACAACAACAACAATAACAACAATACCAATACCAATACCAATAAATGTGAGCAACAGCAGGGAAAAAACCAAAAACCAAAAAAAAACAAATAACTACAAGACTAAAACAAGAACTTTTCTTGGAAACGCTGCCTCAGGATCCATCGGAGAGTTCCATCCAGTCAGTTGAGAGGGGCAGAGAACCATTCGCCTTTCGCCATTTGGCATTTAAATGCCATTCGGGTGTTTGGCGATTTCGGCCGATTAGAAAGAAGTCCACATCCTCGTCGCCCATTTATAAATACAAGTAATGCGTGGAGCAGTCATTTTGTTTCACCGTCGATTCGTGTTGCAACCCCAACTTGCCTCAACCTGGGCTGAAATCAATTGAAAAAAACAGTTTGATTTGCAATTACAAATTATGTGTACTCGTAAAACTGAAATTCTGAATTCCATTTCGCCTAGCCAGCCACAGCCAGAATTTAGTGATAAGTTGTTGGTTTTTTTGTTCTCTCTTGGTTTCTTTGTTAAAGTACTTTTGAAGCGGTTCCAATGGATTTCTTACCGTATCTTTGAAAATATATATCAATATCTGCAAACCATTTCATTCAATTCAATTCAAGGATGACATTCGGTGTGGATCCAGATACACACATAGATTCGTTAGAACAGGCTGAGCACGCAACTGTTGAGGGAACATCTAAATGGTCATGCAAACTAACAATTACAGGTACACCGGCAGCGCCATTTGTTTTGCTTTTTTACCTTAGCGAATTCGTTTCGTTTAGTTTTTTGATTTCTCACTCCTCTCTCTCTCTCTCTCTCAAACTATCAAACTCTCTTAGTTGTTTCCATAATCACTTAACATTCACATCAATATTCAATTGCGTAAACCTCATAGTGAACTCCCTCAGCTACATAGTTGGCCACAGCCCCTGAATAGACAATTTGTTGTGACCAACATAGTTACATATATACCCAAACGTACCAAACCATATCATGCCACACCACACCACACCTTAGCTTAAGTGCTCTGATCCAGCTCCGACCACATCTCTCATCTCTGAGCGCAAGTACGAGTGTGTAGTACTATACTTCACGTATATACTTGTATGTGCCTTATGGGGCATCGTCGTAGTTTCTTCTTCCGCCCGATTTGTGGCCTCCTAGATATGCATACATCTGTATATATTGTACTTGCATACATCATGTTTGTATAGATCTCTTATATTTTATTACAATACGTAACTTGGTTACTTACATTGTTATTGCAATATTTTAGTTTTTGATTTGCATTCTAAACGATGCATTGCCACACATTTCAATTTCCATTCCCATTGTTTTTCCAACAAACACTTTAGTTAACTTAGAGTTTGCTTTAAGGATACAATACTATATGAGCACTGAACACAATACTCTTTTGCTAATCTTATGCCGTATCACCACCAATGACACCCAAGTTTAACATTTAAGCAAATCGAAAATGCTAAATACTCGTACCACATTCTGATAACATTCTGATTTGCCTTAGCGCTCTCATGACAAACTATCTCATGTTGTCATAGACACGAACAGACAAACAAACATCCAAATGGTTCCTCTGCATCCCTTTCAGATGTTTCTTACATAGTTACGTTTACATACTGGTTACGGGTCAACGGGGGAGGACGCCACTCATTCCAGTAATCAGACAAGACAGTTAATTATTGGGTAACTTATCTCACTCAATGCCGGGGCTACTCTGAAACGGATCTTACAACAGACGCACCAAAGACATAACTGTTCACCGTCAATGGGCAAGTTGTGGGCTCTAGTGGAGCACGCTTGGTTTTCATGTTTCGTCCGCCACCGACAAGTCCGTTCAAGTCCGGTTTATCACTGCTGTTTTATCAGGGACCAGCTACATACAAGTATGTATATGAACACTTACCTGCCAGTCGTTCGAGAATATTTTATGTGTGTTCCACATTGGATCGAAAACGTGGGAGCTTTTAAGTTCACTTGACAAATTGAAATTAAAGGCGGCCCCTTCAACAATGACAAACGACTTACAAATTGTTGTTACGGACCCGGAAACTGCCGACTAAATGCCGAATTAGCTGGGACTTTATCGTGGAGAAGAGGGTATTGGATGATTTCTCTCGCTCTCGCTCTCTCTCTCCTTTCTTTTTTTTCTTTTACAGTGAACAATATCTTTTGTACATTTCCTTCGTCGTTCATAGTACTTGCCACTCCAGTTCTCTCTCTCTCTCTCTCTCTCTCTCTGTTTTTATCATTCTCTCTATCTCTCTGCCTGTCTCACGTCTCGAGCCTCGTATCCCAATCTTTATATTTTCAACCACCACCACCACCTAATCGAGTGCAAGAACCTGATTGAAATGCTTACTAAATTCTCAGCATAAATCCAAATCTACGACTAAAGTAGAGCCACACCCCCCGCTGCCCACTGCCCCACTGCCCCACTCTTTACTGTCGTCTCAAATGAGGATTCTCGTCACACTCCCCGCCCTCTAATTACGAACAACATAAAGTAAATAAATGACAAATCAGTTATTCGACACTGTCGAATTGATAATACTCTTTCTGAGATCGAGAATTACTTTCTTAATCGACATCTTTCATTTGTCCGATACATTAATGTTTAACCAAGATATGCATCTCATTCTGAATGCTGGAAAGAGAATTAAAAACTATTTATTTACTCAAACAAAACAAAGTTTTTTTTTTTAAAAAAAATCCATACATAAAGCTGTGAAATATTGTAAATACTCGTAAACAAATCTGTCAGTAAATCGTTTGTTTCGACCTCCTACGATCTTTGCTCTAAACATATTCCTAACACTTGAACATAAAAAACATGCATACATTATTGATGACTATTGATGATTAAACTCCGATCAACTTGTAAATAGCTAAAAACAAAAATCAACCAATCTACTCTATATTCTTGACTACAAGCAAAAGCAACAGCAACTTATCCTTTCAAGAAACTCAACACACACTCTCTATAGCCGGATTGCAATTCAACAACTACGTTCAATATAAATACTATATATACATATATATATACTTGTAAATCCATTTGTTGTGCATCGAGCCTCTGCAATTTAACTTTTACCTTCGGATAGACAAATATTTAAATACACCAAAAATATATACCACCACATACAGATCCTGAAATGCTATTTTTTTAATTAAGATACAAAAAAATATATATAATAATAATAATAATCAAAATACAACAAAAAGACAAAACAAAAGGAAAAAATTGCACTGTGCAGAAAACAAAAAAAAAAAAAACAAAAAAGGCCAAAAGTCGTTCGTTTGCTGGGCTGCTGTTCCAGCGGTGTGACCGAGTCTGCACCTGCACCCGCACCCGCACCACTCACCCGCACCACTCACCTCTCTCAGCACGCACACAACACCAATTAAGGCTATGTGTCCGAAATGAACACTACAACAAAAAAATGAACAACAAAAACTAACAAGTAACAACAAACAAGCACTCCCATAGCACCCCGGCACATACCCGTACTTACCCAAACCACTCGCACCCGCAACCACCGGGAACGCTGTACATATATAATATATCCAGCCACAATTGCTACATATATCTACTATCTGTGCAAGTGCTTGATTGGCATTATCCAGCCGTAGACTGTGTCCACGTTGAACAGCAGCGAGAACAACGAACCGCCGACTTATTGGAAAATGCTTGGATTGTGTCTTTTGTTTTACGTTCTTTTCTTGCGTTGAACCACTTTTGGCAACTTTCTTTTGTTTGTTTCATATTAAAGCTTTTTCTTCTGCCACCTCTCTTCCGTTTTGTGTTTTGTGATTGGAACTTTTGCACCTCTATATATGTATATACCTTCCTACCTACCTACAAGTATGTATCTATCTACATACATACACATACATACATATGTATCTATGCTATATGTATGTACTATATGTCTGTAAGAAGAAATAAACATGCAACAAATTATACCAAACATTATTGTGATTGATTGATTATGATTTCGAAACAAAAACTACAACCAAATTATTACTATTATTGTTATTGTTATGTGATATGGTTATCTCCCCAAAGACTCCTCCCCCCCTCCCCCTGCCACCATTACTTTTTCACTTGCTGTATACATATGTATGTATGTACATGTGTAAATGTGTTTTTGATCAACAATTTTACACACAATATTTGTGCCGTTGTAATTTGTAACTTTAGTAAAGAAAACAAAACAAAAAAAAAAAAAACCAAATACAAAAACAAACAAAACAATAAAATATTGTACATATTTCTGTATATATGTATGTACAGTCTATGCTTATGTACATATATGCATAGAAGTGACACCGACAGTGACAATAATATTTGTGTCTGTCTGTGCACTCTTTTATCTAATCTGATTAAAAAAGAGCATTTAATAAAGAACTTCCGTTTTTTCTCTTCTTCTTTCTCCCTTGAAAAACAAAACCGAAATAAAATACAAAAAAAAAAAAACGAAAACAAAAATGAAATTAAAAATCAAATACGAATAAAATCAATTGAATCCGTATTCAAAAATGCACATTTTTAAAATCCCATAACGGTTCTCTTCGTTTCAAACCCCAAAACTTAAACAACGACCACAACCACAACAACAAACATCAAAATTTGAAAAAATAAACACTATGTATACGCACACACTCACACACATGACGACACCACACCACACCCCCACCCTCACACACACATACACACACACATACACACACACATACACCTACATACACACATCTCATTCACATCCACATTCATACGCATGCCAATGTCTGATGATTTTATTTTTGGCATTATTCATTGCACAAAAACAAACTTATCTATATGCATTCCCCTATATATATATATATATATCTCTCTCTCTATACACTATATACTCGTACACGCAATAATCGATTTATCTGCAAATTCAATTCAATTTATGAACACCAATCAACCAACAAACCAACCAACCAACCAAAAACAACACTCTTTGGACCAAATACATTCCAACCCACGCACACACACACACACAAACACACACACTAACGCTGGTCGCGAATCCAACCAATATACAACAACAACAACAACAACAACCAACTACTACTACTACAACTACAATATGATCGGAATAACAAAAACAAAAAAATATATAACAATATATTCGGGGGTTCTGGTGTTGAAACGAATGAATTGCGAACCATCTGACGATGCGCACTGCGCAGTGATTTGTGCTCAAGGCCTGATAGCGAAGGATAAAAGCGGTACCAGTGATCCATATGTGACGGTGCAGGTTAGCAAGGTGAAAAAACGAACGCGCACAATGCCTCAGGAGCTAAACCCTGTGTGGAACGAGAAGTTTCACTTGTGAGTATCTGCCACAATTCTTCCACTTTCATTGTGTTCTTTCTAAATGTATGTATGTATCGTTCGACTACTACTGTAAATAACACGCACGTACACACGTACTCTCACGTACAACTACTACTACTACTACTACTACAACTTTCAGCCTATTCCTTATGCTCTTGTTTCCGTATTCCGTATTCCGTACTCTGTATACTGTATAGTCTATCGTATCGTTTCCGTAAAAGTTTCGCTCGCTATCTACACATCTGTAGCTGCCCCGCTCTCTCTCTCTCTCTCTCTTGCTCTCTCTCGCTCTCTCTCTCTCCTATCTCTGTAATTATAACTCGCAGTGTATCTGCGTAGAACTACATTGAGATATTCATTATTAATACTATCTTACAACTATTTCTCTATATATATATATATATATATATATATATATATATCTAAATATATAAATATACAATCTATCGCATGTCAATTGATTTGCGATTAAGAAGTGTGTTCCCAGAGCACTTGACGCTGTTCTCGAATGTGTCGCATTTCCTTGTTGCTGCACAATATACCCTTTCCCTCCAAGACATTGTACTTGTATGTTTCGGCACCGCTTTTGTGTGCCCGAGAACGACACCTGGACCCAGACCCAGAATCAGTTCTAGTTCCAGTTCCAGTTCCAAACCCACACACATTCATCGCATTTGGTCAACACTTAGTGTACTTCTGATACACATTTGAAAAGAAAACCCCTCAGTTATCATCCATTTGTCAGGATCATGTTGGCAACCCTTTCGGTTGAATCATTTCATTTCTATATGTATATGTATTTATATCATGATGAAGAGCCGGAGACATACTCAGCCCCACAGCGGATGCATATATCTGATACGATTACGAATATTGAATACTGCACTATTAAAGTCTTCTTCCTTTTCTATTGCACCGTATTTCTCTGTTACTTGCATGAAATGCAAACGCAATCGCAACGTACTCTATGGAAAGGTTTCCTCACACCAATTTTGGAAATAGTCTAACGCACTCAATGCTACCGTAGTGGTTAAATATAGGATAGATTTGAAATGCACCCATTAGTCTTAGTTGCATCAATTTTTATGAAGCAAGCAGTTGTTTTCTGAAATCCTTAAAAATACTGATTACTGATTGATTCCTTAATGAAATTCGGAAATTCGAGGATATTTCAAGCGTCACAAATACGTTTTACTATAATTATCTCTTCGATCTGTCTATATATCTACTTGTATTTAAAAACGAAAATTATTGCGCGTCCTGTTCCAATTCCCGAGTGAACAAGTTTGAAAGTTTTTAATAAAAAAAAAGGAAGTCGTCTATTATGATTCAGATTTCTCCAAGCCGTATCACAACAGGTCTCTCTCACTCCCTCTCTCTCTCTCTCTCTCTCTTTGTGCCTCTCTTTCCCGATTGCTCTTATTTGTTGCATTTTTTGTTTCCGGTCAAAATAAAGCACCTATGTACATGATTTCTGTGTATAAGTATTTCTTTTTCAGCTTTTTTCCAACTGCATACAAACGTCTGTTTGTAGCTTTCATGTTAAAGCTGTGTGTATATATGTATATGTCTTTTTGTTGACTGTGTGTGTAAAAATGCAAACTTACTACTACCACTACCACTTATTTATACCAAACACGCTTTTCTACTATATAGTATAAGTTAACACATATTACTTGTATTATGCACCAAAAATTCGGAAATAGAGAACTGAAATTGAAAATTGCAAGCTGAAATGTTCACCGCCGGCCCCCGTTGCAGTCGGAGAGAATTACCTAGTTTGTAGCTTAATTCGGTGCTATGATAAATTGTTAATTTCTGTCTGAAATTTTTAGCACAGATTCCCGAATCTAAGGATAACTTCAAGGCAAACAAGAAGTAACATTAATAATAATAATAATAATTATATGAAACAAGTGTTTCAAAAGATTAAGATTGAAGTTGGGATGTGGGCATATCTTTTTTATTTTATCTTAGAATTAAGCATGTAATTATGAGCTTTTCTATTTGCCGATCTTTAATCAAGTTTTTTATCAGCATCAATTTATTTTTGAGCTTGGCTTATCGTGGAGGATAATATTTGCAACAGTGACAAAATATTACCGAATTTTCTAAAGCAAATTTAAACCCACATTTGGGGCAAACAAAGAATTAATTATTGAAATATGCATACATACACATATTTACATATCTGTATGTATATACGGAAGTATGTATGCATGTGTGTATGTATGTATATTTGCATACCCTACCGTTCATAAATATGAGTATACCTATACGGATTTTATATATACATACATATATCTTCTGCTCATTGACGGATGCGCAGCGAGTGCCACAACTCATCAGATCGCATTAAAGTTCGGGTATGGGACGAAGACAACGACCTGAAGTCGAAGCTGCGACAGAAACTGACACGTGAATCGGACGACTTCTTGGGACAGACCATAATCGAGGTCCGAACGCTGTCCGGTGAAATGGACGTGTGGTATAATTTGGAGAAGCGCACGGATAAATCTGCAGTATCGGGTGCCATACGACTTCACATTTCCGTCGAGATCAAGGGCGAGGAAAAGGTGGCCCCTTACCACGTGCAGTACACCTGCCTTCATGAGAATCTCTTTCACTATCTGTGCGAAGAAAATAGCGGCATGGTAAATCAAATCAAATTAAATCAGAGATCACAGATTGGGTAAATAAGTTACATTCGAATGTAATTTAGGTTAAGCTTCCAACGCAAAAGGGAGACGATGCATGGAAGCTTTATTTCGACGAGATTCCTGAGGAGATTGTCGACGAGTTCTCAATGCGTTACGGCATCGAGAATATTTACCAAGCTATGACGCATTTCCATTGCCTCTCGGCCAAGTACCTGTGTCCAGGAGTGCCTGCCGTGATGAGTACCCTGCTAGCCAATATAAACGCCTATTACGCTCATACAACAGCCTCGTCGGCGGTATCGGCTAGCGATCGTTTTGCAGCGAGCAATTTTGGTGTAAGTGCCCTGGTACTGGAGGGTTAATCCCAAGAAGTGAACTGAAATCTTTCTGTGAAATTGCAGAAGGAGAAGTTCGTGAAGTTGTTGGACCAGCTGCATAACTCCCTGAGAATCGATCTCTCGATGTACAGGAACAACTTTCCAGCATCGAGTCAAGAGAAATTAATGGATCTCAAGTCAACGGTGGATCTGTTGACCAGCATAACATTCTTTCGCATGAAGGTAAGCCGAGTATTAGAGCTCCAATGATTTTCGATTTTATCCAAACACTTGTACTAATATTATTGTTATTTCAATATCATTTCATTTTGCATTGAACTGTATTCGTACGATCTCATGTGCAGGTGCAAGAGCTCTCCAGTCCACCGAGAGCAAGTACTGTCGTCAAAGATTGCGTAAAAGCTTGTCTTAGATCCACCTATCAATTCCTCTTTGAGAACTGCTACGAGCTTTACAACAGGGAATTTCAGGTCAGTCGCAGGTTACAAACTCGCAAACTCGTACGTACAATACAATAGCAATGTGCATAGCTTGTGAAGGATAATTCCATGGATCTATCAATTTTGGTTACTACTCAACAACAACAACAACTACAATAACAACAGCAACAACTATATTATTGTACCATATAGTATAGCTTTAAGTGCTTCGCTTGTTCACCTACTATATAACCGTTGTCTTTTTGCATTGGCTTATCAATTAGGTGGATCCAAACGAGGCAAAGCGTGATACTGACGACCATGGACCAAAACTAGATAGCGTGGATTTCTGGCATAAGCTAATAGCGTTGATTGTATCAGTTATCGACGAGGACAAAAACAGTTATGGCACTGTTCTTAATCAGTTCCCACAAGAGCTCAATATTGGCCAAGTATGTTCCAAACTCCATCACTACGATTCTAAGGGCTTTTGTTTTCAATGCACTGCTATCAACCAATATGCATGTACTCGTAAGACCAAAGAAAACCCAAAGAACCTCTTCAGCTTCAGCTTCAGCTTTAGCTTCCACCTTAACCTCAGTCTCTCTTCGCTTACTACTTATCCACCACTCTGTCTCTGTCTCTGCCTCTGTCTGGCTCCCTCTCTCTCTCTATCTGTCTCTGTGTCTGTCTCTCTCCCTCTCTCTCTCTCTCTTACTTCAAACATACTCGAATATCTTTTTAACCGCACACACTAACTGTATCTGTATCTTCGTTATCTACTTTCTGTGTACATATGTATCTTATGTATCTATGTATGTATGAGTGTATGGTGTGAGTGAGCGGCCAATGACCCTCTCTAGGGGGTCCACAGATCATGGCAAATTGCCAATCACAGCTACATACTTGTATAATATATCCATTGTCTGTGGGTGTTTGTGCGTGTGTGTGTGTCTGTGTGTGTCTGTGTGTGCGTTTGTAAATACAATGTGCATGTCTCTAGAGTCTAGACACTTTCTGCTCCCAAATGTCCTGCAAAACATTATTGGATTGTCTCTTAAAACTGCATATCTGCATGTCTTGTAGCTGTCGGCGGCTACAATGTGGGGTCTTTTTGCCGTGGACATGAAGTATGCGCTCGAGGAACACGAACAGCACCGGCTGTGCAAATCTTCGGCGTACATGAACTTGCACTTTCGCGTAAAATGGCTGTACAGCAACTATGTTAAAGAGGTGCCGCCGTACAAGGGTGCTGTTCCAGAGTATCCTGCATGGTTTGAGCCGTTCGTAATGCAATGGCTGAACGAGAACGATGACGTGTCCCTGGAGTATCTCCATGGCGCGTTCAATCGTGACAAAAAAGACGGGGTAAGCTCTAACAACACTCGCCCTAATTAAGATACTTGTGTGAGTACAGAAGGCGAGAACCGAAAAAGTGCTTGGGTCTACGTAATTAACGTAACGTATGAATACAAAAGTACAAGTATGTATGCAGATACGTTAAATAAGCGCCCGACCCACCCCACTTTTCCGGGATCTCCCAGGCTAATACGCTGAGCAAGGCAGCAAATGTATGATGATGATGAACAATTCTCTCTTCACACACTTCCATTCTCATTTCATCCAATTCTGTAGTTCCAAAAGAGCAGCGAGCACGCTTTGTTCTCGAATTCGGTAGTCGACGTTTTTACGCAATTGACGCAATGTTTCGATGTTGTTAGCAAACTCGAGTGTCCAGATCCAGAAATTTGGAAACGTTACATGAGACGTTTTGCTAAAACAATCGTAAAAGTTCTAATAGCTTATGCCGATATTGTTAAAATGGAGTTCCCGGAACACATGAAGGACGAGCGAATTGTAAGTGTGCCCCCCAAGTGGGAGCAGGAGCATTGCCGGTGCCCAGCTCCAATAGCTGTCTCTGACAGCTAACCGAATTTCTCATATCAGAAGTATCACGCCCTGTACTGATCTTCTTCAAATACCCGCTACTTTCCCAGGCATGCATTCTTATGAATAACATACAGCAACTGAGGGTCCAATTGGAGAAGATGTTCGAGTCCATGGGCGGCGACAAGTTGGAGGAAGATGCCGCGAACATTTTAAAGGAATTGCAACAGAATTTAAATTCAGCACTCGACGACTTGGCCTCTCAGTTCGCTATCAGGTAAAAAATCGTGATAGAAATGGGATCTTTAACACGATATGATCTACTAATCCACGTCATTCTAGTCTGGAGCCTCGCATTACGCAGTCGGTGCGAGAACTGGGAGATCTCTTGCTATCCATTAAGGGAGGCAGCGGCAACTTAACGCAGGGAAATCAAGCTGCTCAGCGCAATGCCGTAGCCGTCGAAGCGGATGAGGTGCTGCGACCTCTGATGGATCTTCTTGACGGATCACTAACCCTATATGCGCAGTCCTGCGAGAAAACGGTACTGAAGCGTCTGCTGAAAGAGCTGTGGAAGATTGTGATGCGCATTCTAGAGAAAACAATTGTGTTGCCACCAATGACCGACAAGACTGTAAGCCACACATTTCTTTATGGAATGGGTCATATCTTACGCTTGATATAACGAATTACAGATGATGTTTAAACACCTAACTGATAATGCAAAGAACTTAGCCTCGAACGCTAAAATAGAAGACATGGGACGTTTGTTCAAGTCGCACATGGCAGGCAAGCAGGATGTCAAAAGTGCCCTTAGCGGTGTTATGGACATATCGAAGGAGGTTGAAAAGAATCTGTCCCCAAAACAATGTGCCGTACTCGATGTTGCCTTAGATACAATAAAACAATACTTCCACGCTGGCGGTAATGGACTGAAGAAGACATTTCTGGAGAAATCGTCGGAGCTACAGAGCTTGCGTTATGCCTTAAGCTTGTACACCCAAATGACGGACACACTAATTAAAACATTCATCTCCAGTCAGGTTCACGAAGGTTTGCTCCTTTATATATATTTTGTTCATGTTTCGTTCCTCTAATTTTCTGTGTCTCTACGATTCAGTTGATCCTGAAAATGCAGAGGAAAGTGTTGGTGAGATATCGGTTCAAATTGATTTATTCTCCCATCCGGGCACTGGCGAACACAAAGTGAATGTGAAAGGTAAATATTTTGAGAGAAAGTCACTTGAAATATTGAGGGGTTTTATCTGCTTAATTTTCAATCGTAGTTGTGGCTGCCAACGATCTCAAATGGCAGATACCGTCGGGAATGTTTCGACCGTTCGTTGAAATCAATCTGATCGGCCCCCATCTACAGGACAAAAAGAGAAAATTCGCGACCAAATCCAAGTCAAATAACTGGTCACCAAAATACAACGAGTCGTTCAGCTTGTAAGTATTCCTTTGCGTATACTACTTAACATAGATATTTGATCAACCCGTTTGTATTAGTGCCATCGGCAATGAGGAGCAGCTGGACTTCTTTGAGCTGCACATCTGTGTGAAAGACTACTGCTTCGCTCGCGACGATCGTCTGGTGGGAGTGGCCGTAATACCCCTGAAGGACATCTCTGAGAAGGTATACTCTCTGAGAATGAATACTCATATACTGAATGGTAATTCATTTTCATTTGTTATTTTTAAATGCAGGGATCGGTTGCGTGCTGGCTGCCCTTGCAGCGAAGAATCGAAATGGACGAGACTGGATGGACCATTTTGAGGATACTATCGCAGCGCAATAACGATGAAGTTGCCAAGGAATTTGTAAAGCTTAAATCAGAAATACGCCAGGAACCAACCATGGGTACTTAGGCCGCATATACATCCACAAACATACATACTGAATGTCTCACACAAACACTCACCATACACACACATACACACACACCACACAATACAAAACGTATCTCTGATGCAAGCATCCATCACATCTATGAATGGGGCCCTATCATTACGCATACTAAGTTATATACAGGACAACATTATACCTACTTAACAAATACATATATAACGATACATATACAAACAAACAAAATACAAATATTAATATTACTCTATGATATTATTTATCGCCCGATTAAAAAGGCGAACGTGAACGGTGTAAAAATGATTTATCTTCTAGCTAGCGCAGACGGACTTACCCTAACCGTCAAATTAGTATGCACATATACACACACAAACATGCACGCTTGTCATATAGACATACATACTACATACTACATGCTACATACTGACGTTTCGAATTAATTCGATGCGATTTCGATCGTTTCGGTTCTATTCGATTCGATTTTCCATAAACTAACTACATAGTTTACTCAAAACTAATGGACCCACAGATACATGCATACATACATATGTAATCATCTGTACATTATGACTACACTCATTTACTCACTCATACGCACATTCCTATTTATGTAAATAAGTACCTGTATAAATATAATTTGGTATTTCCAAACATTTGTTAAAGATAATTCCATATGCATATCCATGTGAATATGTACTTATTTTTTTCTATTGTAAACAAAGTATTTAATAATAAAAATTGGCCTATTATTGATCAATTGGCTATTGTACGGGTACAACGGGAACTTGGGGACGCACCATTGCGATGCGAAAGGACTTCGACTTTTCGACTCTTGGACTTTCTAACATATGTATTTATGTATGTATGCACATTTGTATGTATGTAATGTGCAATAAATCAGTTGAACTTACTAACTTGATATGGTAATATTCAAGTTGATCTTTTACCAGGAGTTTTGAATAGAAAATGTAACGGAAAAATTGCTACCCATTTGCGCACCAATTGCAATCCCAATACCGTTTCTTTTGATATTGAGGACACACTGCTTGATTTAAATAGGTAGCACTTTCAATTCCAATAAGTAATGAATCAAGAAAAATTATTTGAAAGTCAATTAAATTTCAATTTAATTTCAATGAGATGTCTTTGCATATTCATAAGCGTCAATATTTGAAATTAATCATCTAGGCGCTAAATTTATAGTTTAAGAAAATAAGCTAGAAATTGTTGGTTTGAGTACATATCTAGTATTTAAACCGTCTTTCGGCTTTGGTATTTTCTAATTCGAGGAGCTTGGTCACACACTAATTCAGTGTCTCGCTGCGCAGTCTTTTATTCATTTATAAGTGGCCAAAACAAACGCATAGTCAATAAAATAAGTGAACATCACTGTAAAAACTTGAAGGAAATACCGACACAGAAGTCTAATACCACGATTCAAAAATAATAACTCAAAGTTATCCTGTTCCGGGGTCTCGACATCTTTCTTCTTACGTGTTCGTTCTTCGTTCTGCCATTACCTACATTGGTAGCTGAGAGTGCAGAAAGGAATCAGAATTCATCTCGGAGAGCTGTGTAAGCATACATATTAATTGTTGCCAAAAGCATGAACAATTTACAAAAAGGAGAATAGGCAAGCAAAAGAGCATCAGCATTATTGAAATTAGTATTTACGTTTATTCCACGCCAAATAATTTGTACAGAGCGAGATAAAAAAAAAGAGCAGGGCTCAGTTAAAATTTTGCTTGTGTGTGTGCCTCAGCGTTTCATTGTGTGCGTGCATGCGCGTATTGTGTGTGTGAGAGGTGGAACCGAAAACTAGAAGCAAACTAAAAATCGCTGGGGCTGCCCACTCTGTGGGATATTATTCATTTTGTGCCACATCGTGCGTTGAACAGGTACCGATAGATAGCAAATGCAGAAAACAGCCCAAGGGCCGTACGTATTTTTTCTGGTAAAGTATGTTTAGAAAAGCGTGTGTATATAAAATAAAATGCAACCGTTTTGTTATAAATTCATGCAGTTAAACATGTGCGTCTTTTGTGCATTGTAAGGGGTACGAAGGGCCGCTTTAGAGGTTATGTTGCCTTGTTTCGTTTTGATTGTTGTTATTGTGATGTGCCAATTTTGCAAGTTGGTGCACATAGCTTTTTTCTTTTTGATTCTCGGGAAAGGCAACCCAGAGTTGCCGCTTTAAAGTTTGTAAAAAAAAAAATAGGCATACATATGTGTGCCCAAATTGGTTGGCGTTTGTGTTTTCTGTTGCCACAAATAATTTAGTTTATTTCGAGGTGCCAAGCTTAAAATTCTTTTGTTTTCATCGCAGAGCAAACAACGGTTGATAATTTAACGAAAAATGACAGATTCTATGAAATTCGGGCCAGAATGGTTGCGCAACATGTCGGCGGAACCTTCAAGCGCGAGTAACAATGTGGCAGGTGGTGGTGTAGGCAGCGGCGGTGCATCTGGGAGCGGCGGCGGCACAGCCAACAGCAGCTCCTATTCAGCACACAACAGTAACAGCGGCAGCACCGGTGGCAGCAGCAACAGCAACAGTGGCGGACTCACGCCGGCAGCTAGGAACATGTTCCCTGAATACCGTTATGGACGCGAAGAGATGCTGTCGCTCTTCGATCGGAGCTGTTCTCTACCCCAGATTTTGCCGACATTCAAGAAATTGTTTATAGACAAGGTGCAATATCCACTAGCCCTTACTCCTAGTTCAGAGGATGATGTTAACAGTCAAGCGCCGACCGCAAGCAGCGTAAGTAATTGTGGTTTTTGGGCACTGCACTCAGGATTATAATCTGCTAACGACGAATACCCTGTGTGCCCTTACAGTCGCGTCCCGCCTGGTTGCAGCGCTCAACAGGCGGATTTGGCACGGTTTCGCGAGGCGCCGGACGTGGTGGTGCCGTGGATCGAGGACGAATGCGTGGCAAATCCGTATACCATCCCATATTTCAAAGACCTAGTACTCTCTATGACGATGGATTACCGGGGGCATCGATGAAGGTAAGTTACGATATCTTTTTATTTTGCATTATTGTAAATTTATTGTGGGACCCTTGCAGCCCGAACGTAATTGGACTGAGCGCAATGGCACTGGCGACACTTCGACGCTGGGCGCAGCAGCTGGTGGCCTAGGCATGGATTGGAACGGAACCCCGAGTTCAAGTCCGCGGAAAGAGTTCTCCAGTCACCATCGGAACATGGAGAACTGGCGCAGGAATCGAAGCGAAGACGGTTCTGGTGATGGGCCTACGGGAAGTGGTGTGTCCGGCACCGATGGTTGGCGCAGCGGTGGTGGAAATGGCGGGTTTGCCAACAGTAATCATCGTTGGGGTAAGTGTCTTATTTTGAACAACATGGCTACCAACTTAATGTGAACCAAAGCATAAGCCACCCTTTAAATTTGCTTAATTATAGATGTGCATATATCGGGAATTTAGATAACCTTATCCCATTGTTTCAGGTCGGTCAACGAGTTGGCGTGACGAGGAACCGGTACAAGGGGCTGGCCTTGAAGTCTCTGGCTTTGTAGGCGGCGTTAATATACAGCGTTCCTTTTCGACAATTGGAACGGTCGGGCCAGAACGAAGTGGTGGCAATAATAAAATGGCGACTGGTGCACCTAGTGGACGCCAGATGGTCTCAAAGAACAACCAATCCTGGTCTAGTGCCAATGTTAGTGGTCCAGATGCCGAGGACAATTTGCCAGAATGGGCAATGGAGAATCCCTCCGAGGTGGGAGGCACCTTTGACGCCAGCGGTGCCTTCCACGGCGAGAGCGGCGATGATGAGGGCCATAAGATCGAAAATCAATCACGCAATCAATCCGATTCGAATGTGTTAGATGCTTCATCAAAGGAGGCGTCGGATGGTTTGGCGGCCACCGATGATGGCAACCCAAAAACATCGTTTGACGTCGAACTGAGCACTGCAGACACATCAAGCAACAGCCTGTCCGAGCCGCCTCATTCCGTTACTCCTAATAGCAACAAAGTGAAACCACCAGAGCATCATCCACCAAATATAGCCAGTGTCAATAAGGATTCAAGTGAGGCCATCAAAAAATCTGAGGAGACCAAATTGTCTGGTGGATTGCCCAGTGATGCACCAGCAGCCCGGCCTCGACCCACTACGCCAGAACTGGCAACTACCGCACACGCCGTTCGGAGGGCTGGCGTCCACAATGACATATCGGATCGTTTCAAAGATGTGGTTGTCGAAGTAGAGAAACTGCTGGACGATGAGCAGAAGCTACAAAATCAGAACGATTGCTTCTCCGATGGACCGCCCATAGTGCCGGTAACAGCGGGGGGCATTGGTGGCCGCTTTACCGAATTGCCGGTACTGTCAGCCATGAATATAAAACCAAATTCGGGTCTGGAACCGAGTCGTCAACAACCCCAGCATCCGGATGCCGCAGCCCCCAACTCGGTACTTGGCGAGCTTGGGCATCAATTGGCAATGCAACAACATCTGCATCAGCAACAACATATTAATCCAACGGTAGTGCTGCCTCCGCACGTAATGAATGCCAATCCGAATGATCTTTGGTTCTACCGTGATCCTCAATCAAATGTACAGGGGCCATTCAGTGCCATAGAAATGACCGAGTGGTATCGCGCTGGCTATTTCAATGAAAATCTTTCCGTGCGTCGCTTCTCCGACAGCCGATTCAGACCACTCGGCGAGCTGATAAAGCTCTGTCATGGCAACATGCCCTTCACGCACAGCCATCTGCTGCCCTCGCCCGTGGATCTGGATGCCATTCCGCTGACGCCGAATAAACCAATCCCGCTGTCGTTGAACGATCAGCAACCGCAGTTACCACATCCACGTAACGACGATCAACTTAAGGCCAATGTCACAGCCGCAGCAGACTCACTGGCCGATGGCTTAAAGGGACATGGCATGAATCACATGGATCTTTCCCACAACCTGACCTTGCGTTTCCAAATGATGCAGGAGCAATATATACAGCATCAGGAGTACCAGATACATGCTGAACTGTCGAAAAACGAGTGCTTTCAACGCATGACGGCAGGTGAACGGGAGGCTTTAGTGCGTCGAAAGGTGCAGACGCTTGTGTTACCCGAATATTTAAGCAGTCTCAGTGGCTTAGGTAACTCATTGGCGGCCCTAAATCCTGTCGCTTGTGGCCAACTAAACGATGCCATTGTGGAGCAAACAAAAAAGCAACAACAGCAGCAACTTTTTGCCGGAGGCAACGGCGATCAGCAGCAGCGTCAAGCTGGAAACTTTTTGGAGGCTGATGATTTCATACTGAAAACCCAAATGATGCATCAGCAAGCACAAGCTCAAGAACAAGGTCACCAGCAGGAGCCGGTGCCACAAATGCAGATGATGAGTGATGAGGCCAATAAGCTGAATATTATGAATGAATATAATTTACGGATGCTTCTGCGTGGCGGCCCTAGCGCCGGTAATTCCGCTGCTCCGCAGCCACAACCCAAACCGAATTCGAACGATTACATAAACGATTCACCACTGTTGAGTGCTCAGAGCCTTATGATGCCAATGTGGATGCCACAGCAGCCACAGCAACAACCACAGCCGCAGCCACAAAATTTGTTGGTTGCCCAGCAACAGCAACAACTCCAGGCCGGACAGCCGTGGTGTGCCCCAACGGGCCAACTAGTCGGCTTGCCCAATAAAGGCTTGGCGGGCACACTTTGGGATGTGTCTGCTTTAGAAGAGGAGCAAAATCAGCAGCTTTTGCAGCAAAAGCGACAGTTAAATATGAACGATAACAATTCAAATAATTTGGGCTTTGAGGCAGCTGCCCAAACTCGCAACAATCAACGTCAGCCGAAGGATGTGGCCGCTCTAATGGGCCAGCCTCAGGGCGCAATGCCGGACATTGAGCAGCAGCAGCATCAGGCGGGCTCCAATGCACGGAAGGAGGACCATGCACAGCAACAGAATAATCACTCCAAGCAGACGGTAAATAAACCACAACAACAAATCTCTGCACATAAGCAGCAGACAAAGCAGTCAGAGGTGAAGGTGAGCGAGGAGGAACGCCGACGCGAGCAGGCTGAGGAGAAGCGCCGTCTCAAAGAGGAGCGCAAGCGGCAGCAAATGGAGGAGGAGAAGCGTCGTGCCTTGCAAGCCGAGGAAGAACGCTACCGTCAGATGCAGGAGGAGAAGGAGCGTCAGCAGCAGATTCAGGCACAGCGCCGCAAGGCTTTGCTGGGCAATGCTCCAGGAGCGGGTAAGTCACGTCAAGAGGGAAGATTGTACAATCGTGTAAATCAAGGCTTAAAATCTTAAGGATATCAAAATCTGACGTAGTACAAACAACCAGTAATCTATCCAAATTTCATCAAGATCTGTCCGTTGTATGACTTGATTTTGTGATAAAAATGCATATAATGTAAAACTTATCATATTATGTAAATGAATAATTTTGATTTTGATATAACATTTCCAATTTAGTTCGTTAATTTTGGGGCTTTTTTGTTATGTTTTGTTTTGTTTCTTTAATTTTTGTTTTTGTTCACAGCACGCATTTAATTTCATGTCATTCTGAAAATCATGTGCTGCTCCTATTTAAAATTTATTTGTTTGAACGATTTTTATGTCTGGAAACACTGAAATAATGCATTGCAAACAGAAAGCAAAAATCAGACGGTTTTGCGGCCAGGATAAACAAATGATATAAGGCAGTTTTTCCATCGCACGGTTTCTGCTATTAACTGCTGAATTGGCTGAATTCAAAATAGGAAGAAGGTGATATCAGTAACATAAAGCTCTAATGCATACCGTCATCGCTTTTTCAGGCAACACCAGCACAACTCCTAAGTCGTCTGTTGGTTCCAAATCAGAATTGTCTTCGCGGTCGTCTTCTTCCATCGCGCCCTGGTCATTGCAGGCACCAAGCCCAAGCACCACCGGTCCAGGCTTGGCCGAGATACAAAAAGCGGAACGCCGCGAACGTCGCGCCGACCAGCAACGCCAACAGGAACAGCTGGATAAACAAATGCGGGCTGCAGCCGCCGCTGCTGATGCCAGCGATGCGCTCTTAAAATGGCAGGCATCTCCATCGCCGGCTCCAGTAATGAGTTTAGCCGAGATACAGGCCGAGGAAGCGAAGCGTCTAAGCTTGGAGCTTTTGGAGCAGCAGCGTCGTCGTGAGCTCGAGCAGCAGCAGCAGGCTGTGCTGAGCGCCAGTCTTGGCGTTGGTAGTGGATTATCAAACATCTGGAGCAATACCAAGGCGTGGACTACAACTGGTAATTCCGTTGTCTCGGCCCATATCACTGGCTTCTGGGATGAGCCATCCACTTTCGGCTCTCCCGCGGGTAGTGCCGCAGCTGTCGTCGCTGCCGGTTTACATGGGGCCCAGAAACCGCAGGCCAAGGGGGCTGTTTCCCCGGCCACACGCAACATACGCAAAAGCCAAACGGTGCCGACAATGCAGAACGCTTTGGCAAAGAACGCCGCCCCCTCCAAGGCTGTGGCTAGCGCTCAACCAGTGCAGCAGGACAAACAGGGGAAAGCGGCACCCAGCAAGCCGCCAAAGGCCGCCGATGACAAGAAGGCTAATGCTAAAGGCCAACAAGGAAATGACGCAGCCGCCAACAGTAAGGTTAGCGAATATGAAAACGAGTTCACTAGCTGGTGCATGAAGAGCCTGGCCAACATGTCGGCTAAAGTAGATGGTGAGTTGTGCAAGATAGGGATAGATGATACGATAATACACAAAGAAAGAATGAGAAGGAGCACTTTCGTGATTGCGTGTGTTCGAGCCTTACATTAAGACTAAATCAAATTAAACTGTGGCCGATGTCGGAACTAGCAAAAAATACTACTACTACTACTACGTACGACTATAGTATGTATACTTGTTCGTGATGGATTGCTTATTTGTATTGATTTAATTTACGATTTTGATATTGGCATAAACTTGTAAGTCCTTTTAAAGTCAACTGTCAAATATGACGGTGCTTGGAAATATTACATTATAAGTGGAGGAGCCAATACAACCGCTGTTAAGATAAGCCTAAAGAAACTATACCTTTAATCATATTATATTTAATTATGAATACTTTAAATTATTGCTTTTATTTTATCTTTTCAGTCCCTACTTTTGTAACCTTTCTTCAAGACCTTGAAGCACCCTACGAGGTGAAAGACTACGTTCGCATTTACCTGGGTGCGTATTTTATTTTATGTTTTGTTGCATAAACAATTACAAATAAAATGAACAAATTAAATAACCCAATTGCAGGTGAGGGCAAGGAGTCTTCTGACTTTGCTAAGCAATTTCTGGAACGCCGCAGCAAGTATAAAAATCTGCAGCGCGCACAAAACGCCCACAATGATGATATGTGCAAACCGGCTCCGGCCATAACTCCATCTGGTAACGACAATTCTGATAGCAAGGTAAGTTATTAGTTAAGAGGGTGTGGGGGGTTGCGAGTTCTATATAGATATTTTTAATATTTTTTCACAACCCGCAGAACAAGCAGAAGAAGGTCAAAAAGAACAAAATGACCAAGATGGACGCTCGAATTCTTGGCTTTTCCGTTACTGCTGCTGAAGGGCGCATAAATGTCGGTGTTCGGGACTATGGCGATGGACCGTAACCACAACTGTTACAAAGAACAAGATAAACTTGAATTGAGATGCAGTTCAACCCGAAATTAAAACTGTTATTAATAAAACGCGTATATATACGCTGAATTGTATTTTCAAAACCTCGACAAAGTTCTCCTTACTCTTACTCTATTCTCGTCTCTAGAGGGGCAACAGTTGAACTAATTTCGTAAAGGGACTCTTATAAACATGAGCTTGAACAAAGCAAGAGACAACAATGACATCAACGCTGAGTCAAAGGTGTTTGGCAATTGTTGCCAATGAATACATCGGGGAGGCACGTCCAACTTATAGGTGTTGTTGCCACTACTCGTGAAATCTTTGAAATTAATTAGTGGTGTTTTGTTGTTAGACTGCCTTCTCGCGGGTGCGCACAAAGGACGGTGATATGTTGGCATCTCATTCACAATAAATAGGTAGTACTTGTATTTAGATATTTTTAGCATATGTACACCGATTGCCAATTTGGACGAGTTTAACCAACTTCTGATTGGGAAATCCCATAGGGGTTTTGAGCTCTAACATAATTGTCAGCCCGTTTCATTGCAATGCAAACCCAAACTTGCTCTGCATGTTCCCCACCTAACTACAAGTAGAGAGTGGGCAGGTTTTCCATGCCTTAAGGTTAATGGGTGTTTCAAGACATTCATATGTATAGTATTTAAAGGCAGAAGGAGCTAAATATGTACATATGTAGAATTCGCACGGTTATTTTTACAAAAATTAATAAAATTCTACCTTTTACCTACCTTCTTTTTTCTATGAGTTACTAAGAAGGAGTGAAATTTATTTTGGATATTATTATTTCAATGATTTTTTGTTTGTTTTTAGATGTTTTCGTTATTAGGTCAGCGGTTTTCTGTAAAACATATTTGATGTTTTATTTTGTGGTAGCAAAATAAATTGATTTTCAGGAGCTCCGACCCGTGATAGGGCAACATACAGTAAAACATTGCTTTCGTATGTCGATCCCTACTAATTCGAAGGCTTGGCCTTGGGACTACCGGAAATTGAAGCCATATAAATGATCATCGGGATCTTCGTTATATGAGCTAGTTGACCAGTTGCTGGGCCGTTGATAATAGTTGCTACACTTAAATTGTCCTGCAATTCCTTAATAAGCAGCCTCGTCCCATTGCACATGCTTAGAAGGCTTTAATTTCTCAAAAGCATGATTGCAATTCCGCCTCAATTCATGTGGCGGCAGTCCAGAATGGCTGGGGGCTTTTGAATAATATTGCCTTAATATTTAAAGTGACAATGTTTCGAGGATGATTATGAACTAACAGCATGCTATTCAGGAGTTTTTTAAGGTAATTTTTTCACACCTTTGGTTACATTATTGGCGTTTCAGTAAGGATTCCATTCTTTTTTGCAAATATAATATAGCCCATGTTCACCGTCGATAGTGTACCTTCCCAGCAGTGAAAAAATCCATTACATCGGTCCAGTAGATTCGGAGCCTTTTCAATTCAAACAAACAATCAAATCATTCCTCTTTATAATATTAGTATAGATATATGTACATATGTATATAGAACATTATTAGAATAATGGGACAAATCGATATAACTATGACCGTCTGCTCGTTTGTATGAGCATCAAGAACTTTTAAGCCAGATCAGGTAGGGACATCATACTGAGCGTATAGATTTGTCTCATCCATCGACAGGGCAATGTTATTATAAACTCTATACATACATATTATGTATGTCTTCTTTCTTTTTACGGCTGCTATTGGAACGAACTTTTTAAAAATAATTTGCATTGAAATAAATTGTATGTTTATATTGTTACAATAGTTCTTATTTAAGAGTTTTTTGTGTGGACTATCTATTATAACTGTCATAGGAAAAATCGGTGAAAACATTACTCTCACGAACTAATTTGCTTATCTGAAAGTAGCGTCCAAAATACATAATTCTATGCATCAAATTATGTGCCCTATGCCATACATAGGAGGAATCGGTGCAAAAATAACTCCTGTTATCCAGAACTTTTATGTTTTATGGTCCAGACTTGGCATTTATGGCTTAGCGTTCACTGTATTCTACGGTTTCATGGAATTCTATATCTTATAGACTCCATAAAAATCATTATTTGGGCGCGGTTTACCAGTTTTAAATCCAAAATGTTGCCCAATTTTGTCCTCCTGTTTGTTTCATTTTAATACGATGCGAGATATTGAAAATTAATGCACTAATTCACACGCTCTACCAACCAGCTGTCGTTTTGGTTCAAGTCCGTACTGCATCAGAAGTGTAGACACAAACCCGTTGCATATTTAGGCAGCTGAAGGTATCTTTTTACCTACCTATTTCTACTTTATTATTACAGAAAACTCTATTTCAATAAATTTAAGAGACACGCGCGCCGACTCCGACATTTCAGTACTATTCATGAATATATTCGTTTGGCCGCCCGTCGGCCTGCACTTTCTCTCGAAGGAACTTCTCACGTTTTTTTTTTTTTTTCTTTGGGTTAACTAACATTTCAATATATTTTATGCTTCCATAATTTTTTGAATTTTGTTTTTATTGTTCATTTACATTTATTAAGTTCCTTTTTATATCTGAAGTCCAAACAAATAAGAACTCAAAAAATCATTGTAGGCTTGCCTTAGCCAATCAAAATATGTTCAAAATAAATATTCTCAATACTAATTGTTGTATTGTTAAATGATAAAATGTAAATAGTCGAATGAATGCAGTTCCCTTTTTGAAACCAGATACAAATAGAAAAAACCTAGCTTGTTCATATACAAACATGGGCAAGCAGATCATAAAAGTTAGAACACGCACAAGTGAGTGCAAGAGTGTGCAGGTCAAAGGCAGAAACAACCAATAGGAAATTCAATCCACAACCAAAAAAGAGCAGGAATTATATACCAAATTTAAATTAAAGGGAACTGCAGAAGGAGAGAGTAGATGTAGAAGATAGAAAATATGTGTAGATCTTGAGTAACAATTGTTTATAAAATATTATTTGAATTCAAACGTTTAGCTTGTTTATTTAAGGTCTTAACAAGATATGTTAAGAAAACTTGTATTTATGATTTTCACTATATGCCATTTTAATCGGCTATTATATCATACTTACTTACATATAGGTGCCATAACAATGATTGGTTCAACAAAGTTTTTATACTTGAGTGACTGTAAGCTGGAAAAAGGAAAAATGCACGAAATATTTTAAGATGTTACATAAAAGTTGCAATCAAAAAACTAGGATGCAGATATTTCAATTTCCAAAATAGGATGCTAAGCCTTAAGGGTGTTAATTAGATAGTGGCTTGTTTAGATCTGAATATAAGGCGTAGTATATGTTTAAAATTTGTACTGAGGATGTGTTTTTGAAACAGGTTAGTTCACATAAAATGATCGACTGCGTTAAAAAAAATTGCTAAAGTTGAACTGTGAATTTAAGTCTCTTTAAATTGCTGAAAACAGCGGAAAATCATTTACATATTAGGTACTTTGATGCGCGTATAATAACTTGCCACTCGTCCCGGCCTGCCATTGAAAAATCTTCATTGCATACTTTTCAGCGCCAACAATGTTAAAGGTTCGAGTCCAGGCAGTGCTTGAAAACAAGTTGGACAAAATATTCAAAATTCTTTCATATAATTGAGGATGATATACAGAATGAGCTTCAGTTGGGCTTCCTTTCAAGGTGAGAATATTTTTTGCAAATATTCGTGTCAAACTTTTATGCTATACTTTATACTTTCTTTCAATAAAGAAACTTGAAGATATTGTTTGGTAAATATAGAGATATTTCATGTAAGAACTAAATATTGTGTTTTTGTTACCATATTGACTGATAAAAGCTTCTTAAAATATTAATAAAGGAGATAGAGCTAGAAACCTAAGAACACAACTCGACTAGCTAATACATACTCGTATATGTTAACAGGAAAAAACCAACAGCATCATTTTTGTGTAAATGATTTCTAGCAATTCTATGCTATATCATAACTGTTTAAAAATTGTTGGCAAACTTTCTTAAGGGTTCAGGTTTGCATTCGCTCAGCTACATAGTCATAGAACTACATTATTGTTATTTTTTTTAATTATTTGGTAAAACAACAAACTCAACCATTCCATGCTTCGCAAATAGAATAAATTATTAGTTTTTTTCTATTGTCTTGTTTTTTTTTTTTTTTGTTTATCCAAAGCGTGAATTGTGTGTGGTATTATTTTAGAAACTCGTTCAAAATATATTTATAACCTGAATCAAGTTTGGTTTCAATTGATGTTGTAAGACATGAATTTTGTTGAACTAATTGAAATGCTTGGAATTTTGAACTGTGCTGCCTTAACTAGGAACTTTTAATATGGAAGCCCGATGGTAATACAATGATGTCTAGCTAAAGTATGCAAAATTATGCAAATCTGTTGGCAAAATAGGCATATTGTAAGGCCAAACATTTTCAATTTGAAGAAAATTAGTTGACTATATAAAATAGATGCCGTTTCCGTATTTCGTTTTAAAGTTTATGAGGAGCCTAAAACATTTGTAGTGTTAAAATAATCAAGCTAAGAAGTAATGTTTGTTTGCGTCGAGGCTACAATATTTCCTTCCCTGTGGCTTGCGACATAAAGCTTATTCGTTTATGGGACACGAATAATATACCCGACTGTGACCAAAGGATTTACTATATAATTTCGTATTATATTTTTAGGCTACGAGTTTCACCGACTCACGATTAAAGCAACACCATAAAATCTAAAACAAACTTGTCACCATACAGTTAGTTTGCAAAAAAAAATTGATAATGCTGATCCTACAATATTGTTGAGATGCTTTCCTGTGGGCGTTACTAGCTAACATACCACAATATTATTTGGGCCCTTGCATTGTTCAGAGAAGGATGCATAAATCTGAAGCCTGTGCTATCATTTCGAAAAAAGTAACAATTGACAGGACTCCGCTTGTATCTTTTGTTATGTAACACGAAGAATGAAATACTAATAAGTGATATAGGTTTGGGCATTTAAATGATCTGCATCTGGTAGTTAAGCTTTCTGCTGGATCGCTGGATGGATCAGGGGAAATTGAACTGGAGCGCTATTTAGCGATTGAGGTTATTTTTGGTAGG